TTCGTATGCAAAGCGAGCTTGTTACAGCTACTGTACCAGCGCACGGTGGACGGTCCTGAGCTATCACTTCTCAAAAGAACTCGTTCCCACTTGTCACGAGTCATCAATAGTTTAACCAAATCGAAAAGGGACCTGACAACTGTCCCGGCGATGTCACTCTGCTGGACCTCTTACGGGAATCCAGAGCAAAGATAGCACTACGGATCCAGAATCCTACTAGGCAGTTTGTAAATGATTTTTTTCGGTTGCTTAAAGAATGCATGTTTAGGTTAATATCGACTGAACGGAGCTCCTACTATCCTCAGCTTCGATTTCATGGAAACCATTTACACCTTTAAATCCATTTATCCCAGGACAGTCACCTGCAACATGGTTGGCTGCTTGCCAACTGTTTGGGAAAAAGTTTCCTGCATCACTTAAGCTCTTGAGGTAATGATGCCCAAATGAACCGTTTAGAATGGGCTGAATAGTAGGCTGGTACGTGTCCATTGATCTGTTTATAACCTCATTAGCTGTTTCTTCAGGGAACGATAGGTTCGGAAAACAAACCGCGCCTAATGAATCCACAAGGATTTCTGAATGCAGCTTCTTCCTTGTTTATGGAACAGGTTAAATACACTGCTTTGCATCCTACTGAATGCAGACGAATTAGACTGTTAAAGACATCAGGGAACAAATTAAACGTGACTAAAATATATTGGAATGTTTTTTCCGAGACATTTTTGGCACGTTACGACACATCATCTTCCAAACATTTACAAGCAAATTTCCATTCACTGACGATTCGTCAATCACATTTTTGAAGTGGTGTCATGAAACAGGTTATGGAGTCTATCATTATTGTTTCTGTGATATTTCACTTACCCCTTTAAATAGGAATAAGCTGAGCTGAGCTGCAGTGTTGCTTCTCTGCAGTGTCAATGAAATCAGTGATCGGAATTGAGGATGCATGATAGATATCGGTATAAATCCAAAAGGCAGTCCAGGATGAGATGATGTCATCCCTTGTTGAACGCTGGATGCAGGCATGTGGTCGGTCTTTTAAAAGCAGAGAGGACCGGGGCCAAACTACCTAGGTAGTTGGCGAATATACACTCATTTGCAAACTAATTTGGTTTTTCGAGAGACTCACCTGGAACCCAACTGAATCTCTCGTTTGTGATGTTCTCAGGCAACTGAATGTGCTGCACCAGGCCGCGTCATGTTTCAGTCGCTACGATATTCGAGATATCGCGATGCATGTATATCTTTGTAATGTACTACTCATAAGGTTGCTGAAAATCCGCCGACAGCCCACGACCGGTTTCGCCCTTTTTGGGGCTCATCAGGTAGGCGCAGTACCCGGGTTTCCGTCAACCTTATGCTCTACCTGCAACCAAATTTCACGAAATTCCCGAATAGACACTCATTCGCAAACTAATTTGGTTTTTTGAGGGATTCACCTGGAACCCAACTAAATCTCTCGTTTGTGATGTTCTCAGGTAGTTGTGTGAAGATGCCGTTCCACCACGTTTCACTTGACATTTCGATATGAATGTGGTGTCCTGATTGAAATTCAAGGGCAATTTAATGAGAATCCAAATCTGTTACAAAACTGAGATGTGACGTGGCTTGCTTCTGGTTGGAAATCGACTGAGATGACTCAGCGTTTTGTTAAGAGATTGGATTTTATCGAGTTCCTCTGGTCCACTGCCTACAAAGCTTATGCTTGTAACGAAGAAATATTGGAGTAGAAGCGAATCACAGAGTTCCATTGTAATTGGGTTGATTAGTTTCTATGAAAGAATGCCATCCTTTTAAATGTTTGCCAGAGATGTTACGCTAGTAGTTGACACGTTTGTCAGAAAATCAGCGATTTAGGTGGGTGGAAATGTCCAAAAAAGGAGAGAATTCATTGTGGAACTGCCCGAACTAATACAGTGCTTGAGTCAAATCAAAGTGCATGCATCCCATGAACACTACCGAAATACTTGTAATTCGTACTATCAAAATGTATTCTTTGTTCCTTGGTTGATGGCAGTATCCTATATTCTTCTTAATATAACCCAGCTTGAAAACCATTGGTAAGCATTAGTGAAGCACTCATGTGGAAAGTGAGGGTGGAAGCAGAAGTGTCTTGAAAAGTTTATAGTACATAATAGAGGATTATTCCAACCACAAATCAGACAGGTTTTGTGATAGTAGATGAACCAGAGGACTCTACATTATGACGGTAATCGTTTGGCCGTTATGTCGCAGCACCATATCAGCTGTGAGTATTCTTGCTTGAACTTCGTCTTAGAGGGTAGATTTGGGTTTTCTGGAAACGTGAGTTATCGTCATGCGGAGAGAATTTCACACCTACTCCACAGTGTTATACACATCATGGTGTGACTCAAACTCGATGCTGCATACTCACGCTTGCAGTGTTCCAAATTTTAGTGGTGGTAGGAGTATTTGCTAGCCTTCATATCGCCGCAGACATCTAGGCCAAACAAGACAGAAACTTTCCGGCATGACTCAGTATTCAGTTGAACTGCAAGCATTCCTTCCAACTCCGTTATTGTTAGAACAACCATTACGGTGAACTTTAAGGTCAAAAGTTCCGAGAGCCCTTTTATTTACAAATTTCACGTAGAATGAAAAGAAGGTGTACACCACTCACCACTGTGTAAGCCAGAATGCCGTGATAGATTCGAAAAACCGAAACCAATTTTTTACTGTTTTTTCCCGGAAAGTAGTTAGAAATTTCTGATTGTGCCAGAGATTTTGATCAAAAGAGCGGCCAGCATGAGGACTGGTTCGAACTACCCAAAATGACATTAGCAGATAAACGCTTCTTTCAAGCATGATTAGCAGCATGTCACCCCCGATACAGTTCTACAACCCACTCAAATCCCTACGCTTCCTTCTAGCATCAGATAATCGACCATAAAGCGACGGTAAACTTGTTTTCACATGCAGAATCCTGGTGCAGAAATTGGTGACATTTCAGCATTATTTTAGGATGATGTGAGTGCATGAAAGTTTCGATCAAATTGAAAGAGCGAAATGGTGAAAGTTTAGTGCTGAAGCAATTTGCGAAACAACCGCAATTATCTTTTCTGGAGCGGAAGTTTTCCTCCTACCTCCTGACAGCAAGTACAGTGGTTTGATGGATGAAACCGTGCTCTACACAAAACGAGAAAACCACTAACGCTTTGGCCAGATGGAACAGAAACAGTCTACAACGGAAATGGATCTCAATTTATTTTAACCAGACAGACAAATTTGCAGTATCATTGACGTGCATCCCGTAGCGAAGGTTTTATGCATACTGCAGCCATATGTTGAAGCATTATTAGTTCATACGCACATTAATAACGCAGGAACTTCATTAGTCGAAAGCATCAATCCATCATCTCTGTTTCCTGTCCCCATATAACATTTATTATGAGCATAACCGAAATGATTGTTTATTAGCAACCTGCTTAGAGTATCTTTTTCTAGTTAGTAAAATAGGTGAACAGTGAACAAAGTTGAGTGTGGTGCAAAAATCTACAGATTTGAAAGGCACTATGAAGAATTATTTCCGAAGTCGGCGTGTTTCTCTCCTACTAGTCTCATTACAGTAGGACAGCTGCAATTGTCAATGTTGGATTTTGTTTGAAATCGTATTAAAAACCGAACCAGCGCCTTTTTTGCTAGGTAAAGTTTCATCTGGAGCAGTACCGGATGCAACTTCCGAAAAAACTAAATTTCCTTATTGTTAAACGCTATTTGGAATGACGCGGCTTTTATCCCTGGCTACCAAATGTGTTCCAGAAAACTCCTAAGCAGGCAAAATCATGCTTAATTAATGCCAAAAGTAGTGATGATACGTCTGTACACCATTAGAAATAGCTTACCTCACGAAGTTTGCAGCTGACGAATATTTTATAAATGACTACTTTTCCGAAAAATAGTATTATCACACCTTAGCACAGTCCGAGCTGCGCGTTTAGAAAATGCTATCTAAGATTCGCCTGGTCTAATGGCTCCCACTTTTTGTGAATCAAAAACGAAAGTGTTGTTTGGTTGTTTGACGTAGGCTTTCTGTCTCCACGTAGAAGAAGAAAATGGCGTAAACTTTAAGCTCCACATTCTGGTAGCCTGATAAGGCAAACAAAAATCCATTCGTTCCTTTATGGTCTGTATTGGCTGACTCGAGACGCGGAATCGAATCCTGGAATCTTCTGAAGCTGGGATACCTTGCAGTGATCTTCTTTTGGAACCGAGGGAAATTCCTTGAAAGGGATGCAAATGTCCAATACACACATGAGGACACAGCTGCTGGTTTCACCTAAAGAACTCAACTGAGTAATCGACTAACCATGGATCACATTTTGTTCATTGATGGCGGTAGTGTGATTCTAACTCCCATAGATAGTGCGAAGAAAGCTAAATCTGAACACAGTCCTGATGGTACAAAGCAGCGGGAAGCACATTGACAAACATGACATGC